GGGGAGCCAAAACGAAGAGAAACGTGACTTTGCTGCTGTACCGTACATCGCCTTGGCGTACAGCAGAATTACTTGTACCTCGATGATGACAAACCTTAGTCGAAACGTTGTACATTTGCTGTTGTATTAAAGTTTTTCTTCATTACCCATTCAAGCCGTCTCCAGCCATTATTATATGTCAAAATCTGATGTCAGATTGAGTAAACTGTACTTACTAGTCAGCACATAATTTTACAAGCTGCTGTAAAAATCCGGGTATATAATTTGATTTGTTTTGTTTTGAATTTCACGCAGAGCTACACGAAGGTCATCTGCGCTAGCCGTCCCTAATTTAGCAGTGATACACTACAGGGAAAGCAGCTAGTCGTCACCATCTATCACCAACTCTTGGGCTACACTTTTACCAACGAATAGTGGTATTGATCGTCACATGATAACGCCCACCACGGCTGAAAGGGCGAGCATATTTGGTGGGACAGGGATTCAAACCCACGACCCTCAAATTGCGAGTTATGCGCCCTAACTACCTGGCATTGCTTCTAAGAAAGTCTCAACAAGGAAACATAAGACTTATAAAAACATATAGTTTATGAACAATGTTTTTCAAGATATTAAAATTTTATTCCGTGTACTTTAATATTAAGATTATCATATGTTGTCTTTCCATCAATTTCAGCTAGAAGGATTACCTGGACCTAGGGGAGAACCTGGAACACCAGGTCCAAGAGTAAGTCTAAATTTGATTAATGTGGGCTTATAGGAGAACTCAAAATATAAAAACCAATGGTAAACTTATATTTTACTTAAGTGGGTTTATAAGAGAACACAAAATAGTCTGGTCCAAGGATAGGTCTAAATATTAACGAAGGTAATTTTTGTTTTTTGTCTAAGTGCTGCTTAGTGTTTAAAAAGTGTTAAATTGTTGTATAACTTATATAGCTTGCATGCTTGGTTTATATATTAACAAAAACTAAGTAACTGATAAATTTACTATTCAATCAATTTGTATCTCAGTATAAGAAAACAACATAACCGTAAGGTGGTTTATTGGGTTCAAGATTGTTTGGAAATGAAGGTTTGTTGGTTAGAAACGCAATTATGATTTTATAATAGTTATTGTTAGGTGCCTGAAACTTAATCATTGTGGCGAAGTTGTCATATTGTTTTACAAATCAAGGGTTTTACTTATGTCATATTTGGCACAGTCTACTTGTATGATTTCGAAGATGCGAGGGTTCTCATTAACATGTCTTCAACATCGAATCATCCTGGGTTTGTATGGTTGCCAGGAAACTGCATCATATTGTTTCGTTGGAACTGTTGCCAGAGACATGAGCTTGAATATCTTATCAGTTGTTCTGGTTTGTTGTTTTGTAATGGGCGACATTCTAGGCTATTTGCAGAGGTGTTGACTGATATATTACTTCAACTCAAACGGTTTCAAATCATGATATAAAGACTTGAAATAACCCTTTCTTAATATATAAAATATCATTAATTTTGACGCAAAAAATCAAAAAGACATTTTAAGGCCAAGATGCTGTGTTTTTTGATAAATTAAGACTATTTATGAAGTATGAGTCAAATATTACTTATTTTCCTGGTAATCTTAGCCTAAGCCTTATTACCTATTTTAACTTCATCAAAAACAATAATGACAGAATTGAAAGAACCGTTTCGTTTTAGATGCACTGTTATAGATATTGAGATATAACAACAATAATGCTACAATAGTTTACACATAATATATGCGTGTGTGTATGTGTGTGTATTTCATAGAGACTATGAACCTTGAAATGAAAACACAGTATTTTGTAATTTTTTATGTGTCCTAACGTTCCTTAGAATGAAACGTAATATGAATTTGGGAAGTCAAAGGTACCTCTTTCAGAGAAATAACTGATAATTGTAATTATATAGTAGCTGAAATTTGATATTCACTTAATCAGACCATAAACTACACAATGATATTTTCGAAGTGAATAACGATTAACATAAAGATTATTATTTAATATTATTGCAACAAAAAGCTTTCTTATATTATCATCAATGATAGAAGATTGTATTTAAGATAACCATTTCTTTTTTCAGGGAGAACCAGGTCCTCCGGGACCAAGAGGTCCTCCTGGCCTTTTAGGTGAAAAGGTAATATCAGTAAAACCAATTGACATTAAATGCACCTTTAAATAATGTACTAATTTAGTTCTGGTGCAATGTTCTTAACCTTCTATTGCACACATTATGAAAATACGGTGAAAAGAAATGTTTTATTTGAATTTCTTACTTAAATAGGTCTATACTGCATACATTTTGTTTCTGTGAAACATATTTGGTAGGTTATAAATGGGTATGTTACTTAGAAGTAAAACTGTTTAATTGAGCAAAATAATTCCATGGCTTATTTAGACTGTTGCCTGGAGGTAAGAGCATCCAATTACAGAATTGAAACATTTGTATGTGTATTAAGCAACAAAGATATATTTAATATTAGTTCGGCAAACAACGATTTATAAGCATAAGGAAGAGTTGGTTTTTTTTTATGATGGAACCTCAGGTTTGGTTACATATTATTATATTAAATCTTCCTTACTCGAGTATTAAAGAGATAGTTGTTACTTGTACGTTACAATGTGCAGTAGAAAATTAACTTGTGTTATTTTGCAGCTTCACTCAAGAAAAACATTATCTACCTGGTTCTGAAAAACTAAAATAATTAATATTATAACGCGTATGAAAGTATTATTAGTTTTCGGATGGTTTAAGCATAACACCAGGAATGTGGAAATAGATTTTAACCTAGAATTATCCACATGGTCCTCATCGATTTCTTAAACACGTTTTTCTAGACTATATATGCAGTCCATTTCTTGAGGTTCGTGACTTTATTTTAGCAGTGTCCCTAATAACATGCGAATCACACACAAAAATATAAACAAACAATCCTTTAATATTCCAGTTAATGCCTTTAATTGCTGGTGGTGTCCCCTATGTATTCTACCCAGAAATTGAATTATTTTGCCCAGTTTTGATGGTTAGTTCCTTAAACCGATAATTTGAAAGATAAGGAGCTGAGAAGATTTAATTATCACAGTGACTAATACACAAGAAATCCATGACCAAACAGTAGATGTTCTCTAAGTGATTACAATGACTAACAAGTCTAAGGTAAAGGAAATCTATGAAGTGGAGTTGTTGATCAGGCACGTCGCAAAGGTGTAAAAAACAATTTATGATAAAAACAGTGAAAAATAGTACAAGGCAAGGTAACGATTGATGTGGGGCCCTGGGAGGGGGAAGTGAGGAGAGTTTGTTTTAGAGCAAAGCCACAATGGACTATTTTCTGTGTCTACCTTGGGGATTCGAGCCTCGGATTTTAGCGTTGTAAAATCATAGAGTTACCGCTGTCGCACTGGGAGACGGGGGGTGGAGGACGGAGTGTGCGATAGTTCTGGAAATTTTTATCTTTTAAAATAGATTAGCCAAACAGATACATTTGGAATCTGTTTAGTGCATATTTAAAAATTACATTAGATAATTACAGTTTCGAAAAGGGATAAGTATGCTGAATTTTATTTCACAGAACATTTTATTTTTCAAATGTGTTTACAAAATATTACATGTGTAATTAGTAGAACCGACGTCCTAATGGTCTTTCAAAAAGCAACAAAACAAAATCTTGAAGTAATTTATATACATAAAACAATGAGTAAAACAAACAAAAATGAATAATAATAATAATAAAAGTGATAATATAGAACAGATACTGAAGACAGGCAATGTGCATAAATTTCAATAACTTAAATAAACTAAATAGATCCCACACTCCAAAAAAATCTTCACCCCTAAACATTAAACTTTCATAAACATTATCCTCTGTGATACAGGAATGTGTAGGCTATGTTTGGCAAGCTTTCAACAAGCGTTCACTGCTCATAATCTAAGCCTTATCTTCTAATTTCGCAAACCCGTTTTTTCATCTGTAAAAAAGTATAGCGCGCCATCTCTCCGACATTTATGGAACGTAGTGAAAAGGGCGCCAAAAGAAGAGAAACGTGCTTTGATAAACATCAGCGTTGATAAAATGGAAGACGTTCACCTCTGAAAGTTATTTATGCTAAGACTTGACACGATTTGTTAGTAGATAGTTTTATATAGTAGAATATTTGTGACACTTGCTTGATTCTAATCGTGATTGTTTCCTAATGATGTATTTCAAAGAAAAAATACTTCAACGCATGAAGCATGAATTTTAGAAAGCCAGAATGTTTAATGAGGTCGTCTGAAAAAATTAACTGGGAAATACTGCTTAGGCCTAGTGTCAAGAAACGTGATTTTCGTACTTTAACTGATAAAACGAATGATGGAATATGGTTTCACATAACCTTCCATTTACAAAATCAACTAAGTAGGCATTGATCATGTATGTAGTCTCCTATTTCGCTAATTAATGCTGTCTGGATTTACAGCTATTTCAACTTATCAGAAATATTGAATAACCACAGAGATATGACAGAGTGTAAGAAAACAAGAACATTTTACTATTATTACATAACAAGATGGAGAATGTTACACCAAATATTTCATTTAGATACAGCGGATACTTATACAATGTCTGATAGCACTTAGCAACGATGATATATTTATCACTCAGCAATAGAAAAGCTATCACACTATATGGTGTTACTTAGGTATAGGGGTTACTTACAAAATATATGATATCACTTAGTAACAGGAAGAAAGTTACGCTTTATAACACTCAGTAACAGTAAGACCATCATACTACATGGTGTTGCCTAGTTAAAGGAGGAATTATACATTAGGTACTACTCTGCAACATGGAAAGCTTTACAGCGTATTGTCGTTGAAAGTAAAGTGTATGGTTTATTAAGTTGGAGATTCTTTCTAATCTAGTACATTAGGTACCAAGATCGCAACATGGAAAGCTTTACAGCGTATTGTCGTTGAAAGTAAAGTATATGATTTATTAAGTTGGAGATTCTTTCTAATCTAGTACATTATGTACCAAGGTTGCAACATGGAAAGCTTTACAGCGTATTGTCGTTGAAAGTAAAGTATATGATTTATTAAGTTGGAGATTCTTTCTAATCTAGTACATTATGTACCAAGGTTGCAACATGGAAAGCTTTACAGCGTATTGTCGTTGAAAGTAAAGTATATGATTTATTAAGTTGGAGATTCTTTCTAATCTAGTACAGTTAGTACAGTGTACATGAAGCTTCTGCTGTACGGCAAGGCGGATAGTACGGTACAGCTA